ATGTTATATATTGGCAAATTAATAACATGTTGCATTGCATGGTAATAGCACCTTCTTCACTACTGAATTGACATAGATTGGGGAACATGAATAACGTGGGTCGAAAATCTGTATGAAACAAGATAAACCATGGATTTTCAACAACTTGTGGGAGGGAGACCTCTATCTCCAAGATAAAGAAATCATTAGTTATTCTACTAAGCTGGGAAATATATTCTCAAACAAAAAAAGTGCTCCATCTTTGTAGTAATGGTTTAAAGTACATCCATAGGCTTGACAGTTATAAAATAAAATAGTTCTTGGTCAAAGTTCTGGTAACTAAGAATTCTTGATTGAGTCTCTATAGATTTTCACTCGTTCAATCTGGTTTTTAATTTTTCCCTACTTGATATGTTGGATTGAATCAGTCAAATTGTTTTCTAGGATGCACATTGCTCTTGTCAAACGCATAAAGCGATCAGAACATACTTTACTAAAGAGCCTGAAGTCTGCTAAGAAGGAAAGTGCCAAGTTGTTTTCCTCGGAAAATGAAATTTTTGTTGATGATCACCTGAGATATTTGTCGAGTTCAGAGGAAGATGAAAGCAATTGTAATGATTATGAAAATAACCAGGAGAGTTGTGATGTACTGAGTGATGCCAAGTGCTCATTGCAGAATGTAAAGAGTGTAGACCAAGAAATTGAAGAAGAGGGACATCCTGCTGCTAGTGAGGTATTAAAAAAAAGCAAAAACAATAAACGATCCCGAAAAAGGAGCAAATTGGGTACTAATTGTGGCGTTTTTTCATCTCCCAAAGTGTTAAGGAGAGGTAAAGTTCAACGAGTCCTTTTGATTCACCTGAAAAAATATGAAAGTTCGTGAGAAAGATGCAAATGATTTTTCGCTTTTTAATTATTTAGTTAAAATGTTCTTTACAACTTGGAAGGAGCGATGCTTGCAGAATAATGCAAATGAGGTATGCTTGTTCCTGTTGTTTTCATTATGTACCCATAAAAATGCCATACCTGTATATTTCGTTAGGCTGTAGCAGTGTATTTAGCAGCTTTTGTGTTATTTTACTTAGAGCAGTTTTATTTCCTAGCATGTTAATTCATCTTTTTGGTGTAATTAACTTGGTATCTACTGGTATATAGTTTTTTGTATGAATTGTTTGCATTCGGATGTAGAAGCATATTTAAGAAGAAGTTAGGCACTCTCAACTGCATAGCAATACCCAAATTCACAATGTCTTGAAGTAGACTAGAACAATGCCTATTGATTTTTATTTTTATTTATTTATTAAAGATAGAAAATGAACAATGTTATAAAAGGAACATATCCTAGGAAATTATATGTACAACTGGACAACAGCTACAGCTCGTGAGCTGCAAAAAATTTATAAAAATATGCCAAATCCACCAAACAAGCTGGCAGACTTTCAACACTTTGCCTCAAACTGAGGAATGGATATTTCTCATTAGTATGGAATGACTGAGTTGAACGGAAATAGATATTTGCCACACTGACAGATAATGCAATGTAAGTTCCAGACATATATTTTTCAAGAATAATGTTATTCGTAGTCGCTCGCTACCGCAGCCGACTCACGTGGTATACATATGACATGTGGTTATTTGATATTTGAGTATGTCACATCGTAGTGAGTGACTGTAAATAAAATTATTCATTTTTCAAACATATTTGGAAACATATTTTTATACAATAGGAAAGGTGGACAACCAAGAGAAAAGTGGGACAACCAAATTTGTTCTCAAACTGGAGTAGGATTTTCTGACATATGGGTATGAGTAAGATATTCCGTGCCACTTTCAATTGAAGGAAAGTACAATCCAATTTCCCTCTTTAGCATGCCCAATCACTTCCCCATAAGGTCCTCAAAAGAATTTTGAAATCATGTAAACTTTAATGAGCATTTTAAGTTCTTAGTTATATTGGCAAGGAGTGACAACTTTACTTGTAGCTTGGAACACAGAAGACATTTTTTTAGGGTCACAAAAGATGTCAGAAAGACATTCCCTTGACACATAATAAAATTTGATCTTTTGATTCCTAGGCATTGAATGTAGCTAAAAAAGAACTTTGAAGAGTTGAATATGTGGTCTGAAGCCCCTCAATCAGTGACCTACGGATGGAAATTTGATATTAAGAGGCATTTAACGCTCAGAATTACTTATTCATTTCGTTAAATGATTATAGCATAAATGTTTCTTTAGTCTATAAATGAATTGATTGAATTTGTAATGCAAGAACGTAACAATTTGATAATGAATAATTGAAAAAGGAACGAGAGAGAGAGAGTTCAACCCAATTAAACTTTCCTTCTAAACAAACTTGTAATAAAAGATAACATTGATAATAACAAACTCTTAACATATAAAACTACTAAATTCTAGATATAAACTTAAATTCTACTTATTTCTATCTGTATCTGCATCAGTTTGTCTATTTCCTTCTTGTTGGGCTCTATTGAGTAGGTTTGGAAATAATGAGCATGAAGATGAAACCAGAATGAATTTCTGTGTATTGGTGATGATAATTGCTCCTAATACAACCAATATATATTACATAAGATGGAAGAAAAAAGGAAAACTAATATGCTTAATAAGAGCATCTTCTTGATCTGCTTTAAGATCAATATGCATTTGTCTAAACCTGTTCAAAGTTCATCCTACTCAAAATCTAATTTTTTTTTCAACCCCAGCATCTTCTTGATCTGCTTTAAGATCAATATGCATTTGTCTAAACCTGTTCAAAGTTCATCCTACTCAAAATCTAATTTTTTTTTCAACCCCAGCATCTTCTTGATCTGCTTTAAGATCAATATGCATTAGTCTAAACCTGTTCAAACACCAATGTGTACTAGTACCACTCTGCACCTGAATGGTGGTATAATTCCACATGGTGCAACTCAAAATTTTCAAGTTCTTGGTAGCTACAATATTTTTAAGTTCTTGGTACCATTTTAATAAAATGATTTTACACGTGAACTTATAACTTTTTCATACTTTTAATTACACATTCTTTAAAAATATTATTTTCCAAAAAATAACATCAAACACGCAAGCCTTGATGCTTGAACTTTAGTTCGAAAAGTATATAGACAAAAATATCGATGTTCAATATTAATTGCACCATAAAGCACTTTAATCGAGTGATGGTCCCTTCATATCCTTTAATCAATTGCTTTTCAGAAGCATTACTTAATGGAAATAGTTAATTGACAATTACAACTGAATTTACATTTAGCGTCATTTATATCTATGAACTTTAAATTATTCCACATACTTCATAGAACTTATTATGTACAACACTTTACAAGAAAGTTACAAAACTGAAATTACACTTTTGGAACTCTGCAAAAATACCACTGGACATCAAGAATAGTGACCGGTTTAGGCTCAGATCCTTGTACCCTTGTAACCCTTCTGTATCATCAAAGAGGCCCTGACTCAAACCACAACCTTCACAAGTCCCCAACGAGGGGTTGCTTCAATTAACAGATTTGGACTCTAACCACCGACTTCAGTTTGCTCACATAGAGAAAACACTCAAATTTTAGATCTCACAGAGAAAAGAAGATCGACTCACAAAAAGAAGATGAACTGACGAAGAACAGAGAAACCCAAAAGGCTCTAGACGACTGGAGTAAAAGATAGAATGAAGTTTTTCAAATTAGAGTTAAAGACCCGTATTTATAGTAACTCACGATCAACCGTAGATCTGTATCTTCATCCAAACTCTTACACAATTGGGCTGAATATCGGGTCATGTTTGGTGAGCCATCTCAGATAACGTTATTGGACAAGGTTTAGTACTTGGGCCGAAGGCCATTATCTCATCATTGCCTAAAAAAATGGACTAGATTGGCATAACAGCCCAACAGAACTTTAAAATTTATTTCAGTTGAACCACATTAGTTGGTCACTTATATTTTAGCAAAAAAATCTTAGGTAGCATTGATGTTTTAGTTTGTTAGTTAACCGATGTAATCTGTGACATGAAATTGAATTAATTATACTAATCGTCATTGAATTTTAATTCACTTCAATTGTACTATTAATTTTAACCACATATTTAATGAGTTCCACAATCTTTTAATCACATATTTCATCAACTTCTATAGAAATTTACTAAAATTCTGATTTAAATTCCCAGGAAACAAAGTCTAATACATTGTCGCGAAACTCACCAAAATGATTTAGAATACAAATATCTTTTAGATGGGTAAATACAACCCCAAAAGTTGATATTTCACTTTAAATAAACAAAATGAGAAAAAAAAAATCGAGCAAACGAACATTTAAATGAATAAAACACATTTCTAAAGTAAAAGAAAACGACAAAAGTTCAAAATCCATATCATGTAGTTATCTCACATAATCAAGCGACTGACATGATGATATGGTTGATTTGAATTTAGCCCATCTTTGAGCCTCAAATTGAAAAATTACTTTCTCATAAAATTTATTTTTAAACATACATTCTTTAAATAAGATAATTTACGAATAAATCCAATTTTTTTTATAACTTTCTAACCATATTAAAATCACTACTAATAAACCAATTTTTTTGTAAAAAAAGGGGTTCAAAAAGGGTATTAGTTAAGTAAATGAAATTATTCAAATTTCAAACGTATAAATTACACCGAGTGTAAAGTTTGGTGATATTTGGTAATCAACTCATGGGGCGTGTTTAATTAACACTAACACGTTAAGGATTTTCTCTTCAATAAAAATAATGCCAACTAATACGGTTGTATAAATGAAACGATTTTTTAGTTCGGTCAGTTAAACGAATTGATTCAAAGTTCAGTGGTATAAATGACACAAAATGTAAAGTTAGGTGACTATTCTTGTAATTAACTCGACTAAGTAAGCTCAGGTGACTACACGTCACGAAATGATGTCACGACACAAACGTCCAAAATAGGCCGGGCCCATACATCACATTCAATTGATTTGATTGGTTTTATTTTTCATTCTTCACTAAGAATCATAGATACTTTCAAAAACGTTGTACGACAAAGCTCGACAGTCTGACGACTTAGACGAGACGAATCATTGACACAGTACAGTAGAGAAGAAGAGAGATCTCAGCATTCAATTGTCGTTCTACTTCATCATCAACATGAACAAGAAAGGAAACCCACAAAACTTCCGGCACGGCGGGGGGTGGCGACCTCAGCCGCAACCTCCTGAAAACGGCAGATTTTTCCCGCAACAGGTGCGTCCACAATTTAGGGCGTCAACGTCGAGAAATGATACTCTTGAGAGGATCAATGCAGCACTGATCAAAGCTCGCCAAGATGTAATAGCGGCCGGAGAGAATGTCTCCACATTGAAAGTGTCACAGGCGGCTTTATTGACACTTGAAGTTGATTCTTGGGAATCTTTGGGGTTCCGAATGCAGTATGTGCCTTATCTCTACAATCTCATGTGTACAGAAGGGAAGGTAAAAGAACAAACTTTTACTTGAAAAGCAATCTTATAAGCAATCTTTGAATATTGCTTTATTTTATTTTATTTTACATTATTTATAGATCATTGCGTTCATCCACTGCTTTGTCGGGGTTAGAAAAGTTACTTCGTTGTATGAATTGGAACTGGCTATTTGCGAGAACGAAGGGATTGAACAGTTTGAAGAGCTTGAATTGGGTCCTTTGCTGAAGCATCCACTTGTCATGCATTATTTTTCTTTGAGTTCTGATGTGACAGAAGTTTTACAAATAAAGACTGAAGACATCATTTCTTATCTTCATAAATTCGTAGAAACTCGCCGAGGAAAAGAAGTTAAGATTGATGAGTTGCTCGATTACATTGCTTCCAAGCGATCTGTCGTTAGCAGGGAAATGCTGCAAGTGCGCATTCAAAGCTTGGGGTACGTAGTGCATACCGTTTTGCAGTATATTAGGAAATTAATATAATAACTACACTCTTAAATAAGAAACAACACTATAATTTGGAACAGAAGAAAAAGGAAAACAGGACTATAACAGAGGGAGTACTTTTTTTGTCAATGACAAGGGGACGAAATTGAAATTGTGCTGTTATCGTGTGGTTGTTGGGGAAAGCTTTTGTGGACACGATGCTGTTGCCCTGGGAATCTCCTTATCTTGTATGTTATGTTATATATTGGCAAATTAATAACATGTTGCATTGCATGGTAATAGCACCTTCTTCACTACTGAATTGACATAGATTGGGGAACATGAATAACGTGGGTCGAAAATCTGTATGAAACGAGATAAACCATGGATTTTCAACAACTTGTGGGAGGGAGACCTCTATCTCCAAGATAAAGAAATCATTAGTTATTCTACTAAGCTGGGAAATATATTCTCAAACAAAAAAAGTGCTCCATCTTTGTAGTAATGGTTTAAAGTACATCCATAGGCTTGACAGTTATAAAATAAAATAGTTCTTGGTCAAAGTTCTGGTAACTAAGAATTCTTGATTGAGTCTCTATAGATTTTCACTCGTTCAATCTGGTTTTTAATTTTTCCCTACTTGATATGTTGGATTGAATCAGTCAAATTGTTTTCTAGGATGCACATTGCTCTTGTCAAACGCATAAAGCGATCAGAACATACTTTACTAAAGAGCCTGAAGTCTGCTAAGAAGGAAAGTGCCAAGTTGTTTTCCTCGGAAAATGAAATTTTTGTTGATGATCACCTGAGATATTTGTCGAGTTCAGAGGAAGATGAAAGCAATTGTAATGATTATGAAAATAACCAGGAGAGTTGTGATGTACTGAGTGATGCCAAGTGCTCATTGCAGAATGTAAAGAGTGTAGACCAAGAAATTGAAGAAGAGGGACATCCTGCTGCTAGTGAGGTATTAAAAAAAAGCAAAAACAATAAACGATCCCGAAAAAGGAGCAAATTGGGTACTAATTGTGGCGTTTTTTCATCTCCCAAAGTGTTAAGGAGAGGTAAAGTTCAACGAGTCCTTTTGATTCACCTGAAAAAATATGAAAGTTCGTGAGAAAGATGCAAATGATTTTTCGCTTTTTAATTATTTAGTTAAAATGTTCTTTACAACTTGGAAGGAGCGATGCTTGCAGAATAATGCAAATGAGGTATGCTTGTTCCTGTTGTTTTCATTATGTACCCATAAAAATGCCATACCTGTATATTTCGTTAGGCTGTAGCAGTGTATTTAGCAGCTTTTGTGTTATTTTACTTAGAGCAGTTTTATTTCCTAGCATGTTAATTCATCTTTTTGGTGTAATTAACTTGGTATCTACTGGTATATAGTTTTTTGTATGAATTGTTTGCATTCGGATGTAGAAGCATATTTAAGAAGAAGTTAGGCACTCTCAACTGCATAGCAATACCCAAATTCACAATGTCTTGAAGTAGACTAGAACAATGCCTATTGATTTTTATTTTTATTTATTTATTAAAGATAGAAAATGAACAATGTTATAAAAGGAACATATCCTAGGAAATTATATGTACAACTGGACAACAGCTACAGCTCGTGAGCTGCAAAAAATTTATAAAAATATGCCAAATCCACCAAACAAGCTGGCAGACTTTCAACACTTTGCCTCAAACTGAGGAATGGATATTTCTCATTAGTATGGAATGACTGAGTTGAACGGAAATAGATATTTGCCACACTGACAGATAATGCAATGTAAGTTCCAGACATATATTTTTCAAGAATAATGTTATTCGTAGTCGCTCGCTACCGCAGCCGACTCACGTGGTATACATATGACATGTGGTTATTTGATATTTGAGTATGTCACATCGTAGTGAGTGACTGTAAATAAAATTATTCATTTTTCAAACATATTTGGAAACATATTTTTATACAATAGGAAAGGTGGACAACCAAGAGAAAAGTGGGACAACCAAATTTGTTCTCAAACTGGAGTAGGATTTTCTGACATATGGGTATGAGTAAGATATTCCGTGCCACTTTCAATTGAAGGAAAGTACAATCCAATTTCCCTCTTTAGCATGCCCAATCACTTCCCCATAAGGTCCTCAAAAGAATTTTGAAATCATGTAAACTTTAATGAGCATTTTAAGTTCTTAGTTATATTGGCAAGGAGTGACAACTTTACTTGTAGCTTGGAACACAGAAGACATTTTTTTAGGGTCACAAAAGATGTCAGAAAGACATTCCCTTGACACATAATAAAATTTGATCTTTTGATTCCTAGGCATTGAATGTAGCTAAAAAAGAACTTTGAAGAGTTGAATATGTGGTCTGAAGCCCCTCAATCAGTGACCTACGGATGGAAATTTGATATTAAGAGGCATTTAACGCTCAGAATTACTTATTCATTTCGTTAAATGATTATAGCATAAATGTTTCTTTAGTCTATAAATGAATTGATTGAATTTGTAATGCAAGAACGTAACAATTTGATAATGAATAATTGAAAAAGGAACGAGAGAGAGAGAGAGAGAGAGAGAGAGAGAGAGAGTTCAACCTAATTAAACTTTCCTTCTAAACAAACTTGTAATAAAAGATAACATTGATAATAACAAACTCTTAACATATAAAACTACTAAATTCTAGATATAAACTTAAATTCTACTTATTTCTATCTGTATCTGCATCAGTTTGTCTATTTCCTTCTTGTTGGGCTCTATTGAGTAGGTTTGGAAATAATGAGCATGAAGATGAAACCAGAATGAATTTCTGTGTATTGGTGATGATAATTGCTCCTAATACAACCAATATATATTACATAAGATGGAAGAAAAAAGGAAAACTAATATGCTTAATAAGGAGATAAATTAACTTACCAATTATCCTAAAAATACAATCTCTAATTAATTTCAAATTCCATCACCAATACTCTTTCCATACTTGGTTGTTTTCTACCCTGCCTCTCAAGTTGGATCATAGATATTGACGAAGCTCAACTTGCGATTGAAGTCGTCGAAGATTTGTCCAATTCAACGAATGTTCTTGGCAATCTGAACTCTGAAGAAGTTCACTAGCGTGAAAATAAGGCAAAAACTGAACTTTCGAATCACTGGCAATTCTTTGAAAGCAGTGGTGGTGG